CTACGTAAATGATGGCTACGTAAATGATGGCTACGTAAATGATGGCTACGTAAATGATCTCTACGTAAATGATCGCTACGTAAATGATGGCTACGCAAATGATGGCTACGTAAATGATGGCTACGTAAATGATCTCTACGTAAATGATCTCTACGTAAATGATGGCTACGTAAATGATGGCTACGTAAATGATCTCTACGTAAATGATCTCTACGTAAATGATCTCTACGTAAATGATGGCTACGTAAATGATGGCTACGTAAATGATCTCTACGTAAATGATCTCTACGTAAATGATCTCTACGTAAATGATGGCTACGTAAATGATGGCTACGTAAATGATCGCTAAGTAAATGATCGCTAAGTAAATGATCGCTAAGTAAATGATCGCTACGTAAATGATCGCTACGTAAATGATCGCTACGTAAATGACGGCTAAGTAAATGATGGCTACGTACATCATGGCTACGTAAATCATGGCTACGTAAATCATGGTTACGTAAATGATCGCTACGTAAATGACGGCTAAGTAAATGACGGCTAAGTAAATGATGGGTACGTAAATGATGGCTACGTAAATGATGGCTAAGTAAATGATGGCTAAGTAAATGATGGCTACGTAAATGATGGCTACGTAAATGATCTCTAAGTAAATGATGGCTACGTAAATGACGGCTACCTAAATGACGACTACATAAATGATGGCTAAGTAAATTATGGCTAAGTACAGCCTCCAGTGTGTGAATCTGTACAGTAAGAATGTTTCCAGTGTTTGAGTCCTAAATAACTTCCTGTTTGTCCTGTGCTTCCTGTCAGCCAAGATGGAGAAGGACTCAAAGCCACAGGAGGAAGAGGAGCAGCACACCTTCGTGGCGTTTGCACGGATCTACAGCGGGGTGGTGAAGAAAGGCCAGAAAGTGTTCGTGCTGGGACCGAAGTATGACCCCGCGAAGGGCCTGAGCATGGTACACCAACCAACCTTTAGAGAACATGTTCCACACTCTTCCTGTCTGTATAATGTAACATCTGTTATTGATTTGGAGCTTTGGACTTTTAATCATTAGATTGAGTACACTAATGTTAACCGTAAAGTAGTGCTGGGCGGTATACCGATTCATACCGAATACCATGAACTTTTTATCATATGATATGAATTTTTCATATACAACAATACTTGCGGGGAAAAAAAAGTAGCGCATAAGAAGTGGCGAAGGGCGCTCACACCCGCACCGTTGAAATACATGCTTGGGTACAGCGTAAAGCGTATTAGCAGTAACGTACTATGTGAAGCAGAATGTAAAGATGGACACTGAAGAACATGAGACTGGAGATGGAGATATGACACACAAGAATAACTTGTGCCGAGGAGAGGAGCTGTGTCTGTCGTTTGGAGGTTTTTTGGATTAAACAAATCTGACGTAGACCAAACAAACATTTATTGCAAATCTTGTTGAACTAAAATCGTTGCCTTAGGAG